AAATGAACAAACAAAAGAAAAAGGACTTGACAATAAAAAGTTATCATGGTGACAGGGAAAGTCAAGACACCAACTCAGAAGAAGACAATGACATGATGAGAGAGCTACAAGCAAAGCCACAAAAAAAAAAGATTCAGATTGGACACAAACCCAAGAATCCTGGAAGAGCTAAAGAAAGAACCAAAAAAAGGGATTTAAAAATCAAATGAGAGTAGTAGAGGAAAATTTGATTTAAAAAAAAATGAGAGAGATGCAAGAAAATTATGGAAAAAAAATAATTAACAGTTTGGTAAAAAGAGACACAAAAATGCTGTAGAAAATAGCATCTGAAAAAATATAATTGGCGAAAGGGCAAAAGAAGTACAAAACATCACTGAAGAAAAGAACTCCTTAAAAAATTAGATTTGGCTAAATCATAAAAGAGGTACAAAACTACATTGATGAAAGATGACTCCTTAAAAAAGCAGAATTGACCAAATAGAAAAACAGGTACAAAAGTTCACTGAAGAAAATAATTCCTTGAAAATTATAATTGGGAAAATGGGAACTAATTATTTCATGAGACATCAAGAAACAATAAAGCAAAGTCAAAAGAATGAAAAACTAGGAGAAAATGTGAAACATCTCAGAGGAAAAACAACTGATCTGGAAAATAGATCAAGGACAGACAATTTAGGAATTATTAGACTACCTGAAAACAATAAAAAAAGAGCTTTGACATCATATTTCAAGAAATTATAAAGGAAAACTATCTTGAAATCTTAGAACCACAGGGCAAAATAGAAAGTGAAAGAATCCACCAATCATTTCCTGAAAGAGACCCCAAAATGAAAACCCCCAGGAAAGTGATAGTGAAATTCCAGAGCTTCTACATCAAGGAAAAAGTACTGAAAGCAGCCAGGAAAAAAAAAAATACTGTAGAGCTATGGTAAGGATCACACAAGATTTAGTCACTGCCATATTAAAGTAGCCATACCAGTATTATTATTGGTACTTATTCAGTGCCATAACAATCAAACTACCAAACAATTATTTTATAGAGCTAGAAAAAATAACAAAATTCATCTGGAAGAATAAAAGGTCAAGAATATCAAGAGAATCAACTGAAAGAAAATGTGAAGGAAGGTGGACAAGCAATACTGTATTTCAAACAATATTATGAAGCAATAATCATCAAAACAACCTGGTACTGACTAAGAAATAGAGTGGTAGGTCGGTGGGATAGATTAGGTATGTATACAATATGTAGTAGTAAATAACCCTAATAATCTAGTGTTTGATAAACCCAAAGACTCAAACTTTGGGGGGCAAAAACTCAGTATTTGACAAAAATTGCTGGGAAGACTGGAAAGCAATTTGGCAGAAACTAAGCATAGATCAATATCTCACACTGTATACCGAGATAAGGTCAAAATGGGTACATAATTTAGATAGGATGATATCAGTTAGGGAGGAATGGATAAATCTACCTGTTGGATCTATGAATAAGGGAAGAATTTATGACCAAACAAGAGATAGCAAGGATAACAGAAGTAAAATGGATGATTTTGATTCTTTGTTAAATTAAAAAGATTTTGCACAAACAAAGCCAATGTAGCCAAAGTTAGGAGAAAAACAGGAAACTGGGGTGGGGGAATATGTATAGCAAGTTTCTCTGATAAAGAACTCATTTCTCAAATATATAGAGAACTGAGCCAAATTTGTAAAAGTAAGAGCTAATCCTCAGTTGATGAATGGTTAAAGGATATGAACAGTTCTCAGAAGAAGACATCAAAGCTATCAATAATCATATGAAAAAATGCTCTAAATCACTAATGATTAGAGAAATGCAAATTAAAACAACTCTGAGGTTCCATCTGACATTGGCTACATGACAGAAAAGGAAAATGACAAATTCTGGAGGAAATGTGGGGAAAATACATTAATGCACTGTTGGTGAAGCTGTGAAGTGATCCAACCATTCTGGAGAACAATTTAGAACTATGCCCAAAGGGCTATAAAACTATGTATACCCTTCAACCCAGCAATATTACTACTAGATCTGTATCCCTAAGAGATCAAAGGAAAAGGAAAAGGAACTGTATGTGCAGAAATATTTACAGCAACTCTTTCTTGGTGGCAAGCTGAACAAGTTGTTCAACTAGGTGGCGCTATAGTGCACAGAGTCAGGCCTGGAGTCAGGAAGTCCTGAGTTCAAATCTGGCCTCAGACACTTACTAGCTATGTGACTTTGAGCAAGTCACTTAACCCTGTTTATCTCAGTTTCTTCATCTATAAAATGAGCTGGAGAAGGAAATGGCAAACCACTCTAGTATCTTTGCCAAGAAAATGCCAAATGGAGTCACAGAGTCAGACATGACTGAAATGACTAAACAGCAATGGACAAGTTGTGGTATATCATTGTGAGGAAATACTATTATGCTGTAAGAAATTTTAGGGAGATGCTTTCAGAAAAACCTGGAAAGATTTATATGAACTTATGCAAAGTGAAATGAGTAGAACCAGGAAAACATTGTACATGATAATATCAATATTATAATGATGAACAACTTGAAAGACTTAGGTACTCTAATCAAGACTATGATTCAAGACAATTCCAAAGGACTCTGAGTACAGATTGAAACATATTTTTTCACTTTCTTTATTTTTCTCACTTTTTGTTTTTGCAGCATAATACACAAATATGTTTTGTATGACTTCACAAGTACAAATGATATCATATTGTTTGCCTTCTCAATGGGTGGGGGAGGGAGAGAATTTGGAACTCAAAATTTCTTTAAATGAATGCTAAAAATTAATAGATAGATAAGAAAAGAAAGAAAAAATAAAGTATGATGGCCTTTGCCAAATAAATTTTAAATGTACTATTAAATTTGGACTGGCTATAAGTTAATAAAATTAGAATTAATGGTGTATCTATCTATCTATATATATATATACATATATACATGTGTGTATGCATGTGTGTGTGTGTGAGAGAGAGAGGGAGAGAGAAACAGCCTTAGGAAATGGGCATTCACACAACAGTGTGAAATCTCCACTTTTCTGAGATGCTACAACAGACTTTCCCTGGCTCCATTTCCCACAAATTTATAATAACTATGGAGTGAAAGACAATATCATAGTGGATAGTGACCTAATCTTAAAGTCAGAAAGACTTATGCTCAAGTCCTTCCTCTAACATATACTGGCTGTGTGATCCTAGGCAAATTACTGAACTTGTGCCCTGGGTAACTAACTCTAAATTGCAAAGAAGATGCCAACATGCTTTAGTAGAGGGAGTTTCCTTACCCAAGAAATCACTATACCAATGAAATCATAGTTCCAGTCCCTATCCTAAGGACTGAAAAAAATGGACAAAGTGACGAATGTGTCTATTTATCTATATGAGACTCCATTTATATATGTTTCTATGTGAACAATGATGGTGTTTCTTAGTTCTTTGCTACCTGTTAACTTGTTGAAAATCATAATTTCAACATCTGATACTATTTGTCCTGAATTATCCAGCTTCCAGACTTACCTGTAAAATTATATTTGGATTTGCCAGGTTTATTAGACACCTCACAAGTGGTTAAAAGTAAGTAACCCGGGGAAGCTAGTTGGTGCAGTGGATAAACCTCTGGCTTTGGAGTCAGGAGGACCTGAGTTCAAATCCAGCCTCAGACACTTGACACTTACTAGCTGTGTGACCCTCGGCAAGTCACTTAACCCTGATTGCCTCACCAAAAAGCAAAAACAAACAAACAAACCAGTAAGTAACCCAACAGGACTTTTGATAGAAGTGTGCCAAAGCCTGGTGAAATAAATAGTGTTTACTTCATAATCATGCAAAAGAAATAGGCTAGGTGTTCCAGCACATGTGGTCCATGCTCTATGCACCCCTGTGATTTTTTCAAAGTGAGGAATTGGCAGAAGGGGTGGGGAAAGCCTGAATGGGTGAGAGGTGAGATGAGTTTGATCTCAGGGGAAAAGGTGCCATGAAATCCTAGCTCAGAAAACCAAGGGATGAGATCTCAGAAGGATCAGGCTTCTAGCTCCATTGACATGTCAAAGGCTATTAAAGTTTCTTTTAACTATAACTGATGATTATAGAGTGTTTTAAACTTTAACAGATGTATTGTGTTGTTTCAGCCTCCCAACAACCCTATAAGGTTGGTATCACTAACTCCATTTTAGAGGTGAGGAAATTGAGTCTGAGAAGTTAAGTAACCTGACTATAGCCACACAACCAGTATATAATAGGGATGGGTTTTGAAGATAAGTCTTTCTGCTCCAAGTCTGACTCTATCCACTAGGCAGCATTGCCTCCCATTACAATTTCCTTGTGTTTGTTATTTTGGCCACTGCTACCCAGTATTTATAAACAGGGGGAAAATATAGAACCCCTCAAAAGAGCTCTGGTTTTGTTTCAGGTAATGAAGGAGAGGGAGAGAAGATAGGAAACTGTTCCAACGGAAAAGGAACCCAGGTGGAAGAACCCATGATGCCAGCAAAGAAGGGGAGAAATGAGACAATCTCTGGGACCCAGAGATAATGAAAGAAGGGCATGGCTGGAGGGGCTTTCTAGGACCCAGAAGTGAGAGAATTCACTAGTGAAAGACCACTAAGGGATTCTCCAGTGCTCTGAGGAATGACCAAACTGGAGTTGCAAATCCCTGGACCTTCAGAGAAGTGATGGAGTTGGGGGCAGGGGAAAAGAAGTCAAATAAATCCAGAGAATACAGAAAAAAAATGGAAACCAACAAGTAGTACAGAAAAAGACAGAGAAATGTGTATCAATCTATGACTCTGTCTTGTGTGTATCTTTCTGTCTATCTGCAGCGATGACCATGTGTTGTATATTAGAGACTATGTGTGGTCGCTAACTATTAAGTAATGAATTAGATGTGACAGTAGCCTCCAATCTATATAGCCAGGACATCTCCAATTTTTTATTCCCCTAGTATGTCCCATTTCTGGCTGAGAGAAAACACATATCCACAGTTGAATTGCAGGGAGTTTATTGAAGATTCTTATGTCAGCTGCCATTCTGCAACAGGAGAGGGGGAACGGAGCACTGGGTGAGAGGAAGCACTATTGACTCAGAGGCTAAGCATCTTCATGGATCAATTGCCAAGTGTGAAGATTCAGGATAAGTCCAGGCATTCAGTTGCTTTGTGAGATCAGCATGTCATTACAGTATTGACTGCCATTTATTTTCTTCTGCAAAGAGAAAATCAATAGTTTATGAGGCATCAAGCAACAATACAAACATTACTACAAAGCGAAGTTGCAAGAAAATTACTAAAGAAAAAGAATATGGCATAGGAAGAGTAATGCTCTTAGTTATTAGAAGAAGAAGAAAATGGGGAGGAGGGGACTAAAATGTCAAGTTTTATTAAGGAGTAAAATTAACCTTTGGAGAGTTAATGGAGGCTTTGAGTTGGGAAGTGGCCTAATGGAATTTTGTTTAAGGAAAGGGACCCTGGTCATACTGTGCAAGATAGATTGACGGGGATTAAGACTGGAGGCAGTGACATGAGTTGACATAAAATCAGACTAGAGTAAAGACAACAGGAATGGAAAGGAAAGGATAGCTGGGAGAAAATTTGAGGGAAGGAAGCAAAGGGAGAATTGAAGCAATTGGTGACTGAGTAGGCAAAGTACAGAGGGAAGTTGAGGGAAGAGGCAAATGTGAATCCAAGGTTACAGGTGTGTGACATTAGGAAGATGCAATAATATTGACAGCAATAGAGAAGAGAGAATATTCTGAGAGGCTGTATTAAGGAAATATGGGTCTATCTCACTTGCACCAACAGTTAGGGAAGAGTGAATGGGCTTCGGTATTTCTGCAGTTAGAGTTGAGATTAGACTTAATTTTTCTTTGGTCTTTCTGTTAAATTACTCTACTAAAATTCTCTCTCCAAAGTCACCTCCTTATTGTCAAATCCAATGACCTTTCTTTGTTCTCATCCTTGGAATTAGGGTTATGGTTGGACGGAGCCAGTGGCTCAGTGAATAGAGCACTGGGCCTGGAATCGGGAAGACTCATCTTCCTAAGTTCAAATCCGGCCTCAGACATACACTAGCTGTGTGACCCTAGGCAAGGCTCTTAACCCTGTTTGCCTCAGTTCCTCATCTGTAATATGGGCTGGAAAAGCAAATGGCAAACCACTCCAGTATCTTTGCCTAGAAAACCCCAAACGGAGTCACAAAGAGTTGCAAACAACTGAAATGACTGAACAGCATACTACTTGTCTGTATATATAAGATCAGAAGATTATAGAGTCAGAGGTGCAAAGGGACCCTGAGATTATCTAGTGCAAACTCTTCATTTTAAAGATCAGGAAACTGAAGCCCATAAAGCCCATGTGACTTGCCCAAGGTCACCTATGTAGTAAATGACAGAGCCAGGATTCAAAATCAGGACTTCTAATTATATCTAGCACTCTTTCCTTTGTAACATTCAGCTACACTGCCCATTCCTACCCCACTCCATAAAATATGATCTCCTAGAAGGCAGGGACTCTTTCTTTTCCTTATAACCTGAGAGCCTAGCACAATGCCCTGCCCTTAGAGGTAACTTAATATATGTTTTTTTTTTAATTGTATGGAATCTTTGAATCTTCCTTCTCCTTCACATATACATTTGATCATATGACAAATATTATCATTTCTATCTCCTCAATATCTTTCTCATACAATCATTCCTCCACACTCCTGCTGCAACCAGTCCAGATCAGGGCCTCATTTCTCCTCATTTAGATCATTGTAATTGCCTTCTAACACACCTTATACTTAGGCTATCCCCTCTCCAATTCATCCTTCATACCAACACCTAAAAAACTTTCTCATGCATGTCTCCTTTACTCAAAAATCTTCAATGTCTCCTAATTACCTACCAAATAATTTTAAGCTCCTGACTCTGTCACTCAAGGCCTTCCATAATCTGGTTCCAACCTAACTATTCTAGTTTTACACTACTCTTCATCTTATAGTCTATATTCCAATGAAACCAAGCTATTCTCCATCCCACTTGCCTTGCCTCAACCTAACTCAAATGAAATAAATTACATAAAGTACTTTGTAGACCTTAAAGTACTACATAAATGTAAACTGATATCATTATCATCATCCTCATCATCTCTGTACCTTCATACACCCTTGAAATAATTCCCTCAAACTCTGTCCATTAAGATTCCTCCCTTTAAGCTCCAACTCAGTCCCTGAGAGGGACGTTCTCTCAGCCCTCAAATTTCCTATAATACTTGATCTAGACCTCTCACTCTGCTTGTATCATATTCAATTGGGTACATACTGAATCCTTCCCTTCAATTAGAATGTAGGTTACTAGAGGGCAGAAATTGAGGCATTTTTTTTATTTTGTATTGCTAGCATCTAGCTATTATGTAGTGGGTACTTAGTAAATGCTTATTGAATTGAATTGTATGGCACTTCTGGGTACAGAAATGAACAAAGCCCATTGGATTGTACCTTATCCTTCCTACATTCAATAATTAAACTATATTTCTTCCTCCTCTGAAACTGGAGTAAGGGTGGCAGAGCTGAACCACAAGACAGTGGATGATTCTCTATACTTACAAGAATTACATGAACTCCTCACTGAGCCAGCATCTGGACTATGGAAGAATCCAGAAAGAATTTTAAGCTTTGAATGGATGTACACATGTACATGCAGTCACACACACACAGAGAGAATCAAAATTACCACCAAGTTGATAGCAGCATCCTTGTCCTCGGTTGTCAGTTTTGAATCAATACAGGCTTTCAGGTTTCTGGCATTTTCTATAATTTCTTGATTATCCGTGTTTTTGCTTACAAAATCTATATATTGTTCAGGTGTGCCATTAATAAATGCAAAGACATCCTCTGTCACAGGTGGGCATAATGTACAGTCTGGAAAGGATAACAAACTACCAATTAGTCTCCTGAGGGGATCTGACCACACTTTACCCATCATTAGGATTACTCTTAAACCAAATGTACTCGGCCCCAGTCTGACAGAGCCCCACCCTCAACACACACACACACACACAGGTCTGTCAGCCCCACTTGCCAAGTGCTTCTCTGCCTTGGGAGCAGATGCTAGCTGGGAAGTCTGTTCCCATAAGCACCTACCCACTTGGAATTGCAACAGCATGGCAATGCCACTGAGCAGCATGAAAATCGCTGCTGACTTCATGGTGCGGGTATGAGTATATCCCATCCTGTCCAGGACTATATATACTTGCACAGCCCAGGAGGAGTGGTGTAAGGAGGCCCCTGGGGTTTCAGACCAATTACCTTCCCTTTGTAAAGATCAGGTTTCAAGATCTCCTTGAGGCTATGGACACTACAAAAAACAATGAATGTGTACAGGATTAGGCTAAGGAAACCACTTGGAGATTAGCAAACAGATGAATCATTCAGTCAATGTCAGTGACTGAGTTCCCAGAGGGCTAACTAATTTTCCTATTCTAATGAGAAGGACTACACTGTGAATGGAAGTGACTGAGCAGTCAGAGGTGGGGGCTTTGGCTCAATGGCTTTTCACTGGAAGGATCCTCACCCTGGATCCACCACATATCTGCTAAAGGACAGATCCTTCTACCTTACTTGAGCACCCCTCCTACCTCTATACAATGAAAACAACCAAGGAAGGGGAAGGGTATTTTATATTTCCCTGACTGCCTGGTGGGAAGTATGAATATGAAATACAGGCTAAGCTGGCCAAAGGAGGGAGTGCTGTCTACCCTACAACTGAAGAAGGCTAAGCCTTCCAGAGAGTGAGAGAAGTAACTAGAAAAGAGAACTTAAATAGGATCCAGAAAGTGAGATCACAAAGACCAAGAATAACAGAATTATTCCCCTAAGTTGGAGGTGAGCCCCACTAAAAATGAGGTAGGGAATGAGAAGTGAAAGGAAGATGCAGTGATCAATATGGTTAAAGTACCATTTGAGGATCAGGTGAAGGAACTAGAGATATTTAACCTGGAGAAGACTTAGAGGGCATGAAATGACTGCCTTCATGTATTTAAAGGGCTGTCATATGAAAGAGAAATTAGACTTGATCTGCTTGGCCAGAAAGGGCAGAACTAGAAACAAAGGTCAGGACTTATAGAGAAAAAGGTGTATACTGTATATAAAAGGAAAAAATCCTTCTTAACAATTAGAACAGTCAAAAAAAATGGAATGAGTTGCCTCAGAAAGTAGTCCATTCCTAATCACAAGAGGTCTACAAGTAAATGTTGGGTGAATACTTGTCAGGACTGTTGTAGAGGAATTTCCATGCAGGTGTGGATTAGAATAGAGTACCTCTGTGGTGCTTTCCAATTCTCAAGATTCTGTGAAATAGGAGCTCATCTTTACCTTCTAAAATGTCTCCTCTCCATAACTTCCCCATCTCTGTCAAAAGGAATTTGAATTTTGTTGTGAAAAGGAATGTTCTTTCAATCAGTTAGTATTGATTATTTTGATTCATTTTTCATTTGATTGTAGGATTAAGATCTTTAGTTTAGGAAAAGCTAGCCCTAACAGCTAAGCCAAAATAACATAGATATTCTCTTAAGTCTAGGTTACCTATAGATTTAGTGAATAGGTTGATAAGATTTTATCATTTAGTAGCAGATAATTTAGAGTAAGACATATATCTTTGTAAGAATAAAATAAAGGATTATAAGACTCTTTTTAAAGGCTGTTTCCCTTTCTGACAGCTGAAGAAAGTGGAGTTGAGTAAGATTAAGTTCCATTTTCCAGTCTTGGTGGATAAGTTCCTTTTTCTTTCTTGAGCTAGAGGTTAAGTATAAATTGAGTACCCTAATCTTCTAAGGTTGGGGTTCCCTTTGTGGCAACTAGAGGAATGGGTGTGGGGACAGGAGGTGACTGCTAACTACAAATTACAAGTTATTCTTTCCCAGATTTAGTTCAAACTACAGGCCCCTTTAAAGTAAGCTTTCTGGTTACAAAAGGCATCAGTTGCAAGGCAAGGACTTCTGGGGTAATCTCATTTTGACATCTAAATGTTGTCAGCAATACGAATATGGATTAAGAAAGCCTGGGAGAAGTGAACTAGCTAGATAACCTGCCTTGTCCATTGAATTATGGTCAAAACAAGTTTCCTAAGATTGCTGTAATTTTTTATTTCTCTTTTCTGTTATAAAAATAAGCTCTATAAATTACTCTTTTGTTGCTAATTACTGACGGATTAGTTGACTTGATTTAATGGTAACCTGTTAATCATTACTATTAAATCAGTATTTACTCAGAAACTTTGTACCTCAGAATTATTTTCTATTTCAGATAATTAATTTTAACAGTTGCCACTGTCTTCCTCATGACTCAGACTCAGAAATTCAATAATCTTTGGCTTTTCATTTGCCTTGACCCTCAAATTGTCATTCATCAAGTCCTCACATTAAGTAAAATTTGTTCCCTCAGTATATGTATTCATAGGCTATGACTGTGGTGAGACCTTAAAGTGTAGCTCACAATTATCCATGTGTTAATAGGTAGAGTTCATATATTTGATGACTTTGGACTCCTGGAAAGACTCTAGTTCCCATCTTTAAAGCTGGGTGGGAGATAAAATATATTTAGAAAGGAGGGAAGGACAAAAAGCTATTAAACTGTATATACCCTTTTATCCCAGTGGTACCACTACTAGGTCTATACCCCCAAAGAGATCAAAAAAAGAGGAAACAGACCCATATGTACAAAAATATTTATAGCAGCTTTTTTGTGGTGGCAAAGAATTGGAAACTGGAATGCCCATCACTTGGAGAATGGAGGAATAAATTATGGTATGTTGGAAT